TATATATATATATATATAAAGCTATGAGCGCGCGTCTATCGCAGCTTCTAGGCACGTCAATCAAGCAGAGAGAATCGATAAGCAATATCGCGGTTCGGTGATTGACCCGCAGCGACTGCGTCTACCGAAATTGCACATACCACGTGGATTCCCCGCATTACCTTTTATAACGTGCCTCATAACTCTATGCATCGGATCGTTTCGTTCCACACAATTCTACATTTTACTATCATTATTTATTAAAGATTTATGCGAGCACTTTGAGTTTTTGCGAAATTACTTAATAAAAAAATCGAGCTTTTTATTATAGCATTTTTTTTTATTTTAAAGAGCACAAAAAGTTTCAAATTTTATGTCCTGGCGAAATAATTGAACCGATATTACAAAAAAAAACTAATCTACAAAATTAAAATAAAATTATATATATATATAGCTGAATCAAAGCAATGTACAGAATCGTGTTGAAAATTATATAAAGATGTTTCGTAGTTTACATTTAATTAAAAAATTTATTCTATTTAAGTGTATTAATTATCTAAACTAATGAAAACTAATATATAAAAGATATCTCTGTTATTCATTTTGCTCATTATGATTGTTTTGTGGTAAAAAGATAAAAATGTGATTTGAAGCATGAAAAACTCCAATATTCTGCGTGAACATTCTGCGTATCGTATAAAAACAAAAGAATTTTATAAAATAATAATGTAGCAGCTTTTGAAAACAATAGAGAAGAAGAAAAATAAAGTTTGCGAAGTTTTTTCAAAAAAGAAAAATATATATAGCTGAATCAAAGCAATGTACAGAATCGTGTTGAAAATTATATAAAGATGTTTCGTAGTTTACATTTAATTAAAAAATTTATTCTATTTAAGTGTATTAATTATCTAAACTAATGAAAACTAATATATAAAAGATATCTCTGTTATTCATTTTGCTCATTATGATTGTTTTGTGGTAATCTCGGTAATCGCAATCGATGTAAATGCAAAGTTATTAAGAAGTCGATTTCCACCCGGATCGACGGGCGCAATCTGAGGTGTTCCATGAAGATGTTGCTCAAAGGTTATTATTATTTGACTGATGCGAGGAAAATCGAGTATAACGCGTGGGGAAAATTGATGACGGGTACCCCAGGATATTATTATGTCATATAGGCAGAGGGAGATAGATGAAGCGAAACGCGGTCTCGCGGACAATATAATCATATTTGCCTTATGACATTCTATCGTGTCCTCTCATACACGTTCAAGAGTAATTCGACAGTTTACGCATATAGGCGAGCCAATTTCATTGCAATCTGACAAAATTTACGTTAATTAAACAAATATCGAGCGCCTTTAAGAAAATCAATTGCCTTTATCAGCCGAAAATAAATCGGTGACTTTCT